GGATATATGGAAAAATGTCTTTATGATTCGAGTGCCTATGGTCTGGAACAGACTTCCCTCAGAGGTGGTACAATCACCTACCCTGAAGATCTTTAAAAAATGACTGCATGTGCATCTTGCTGGGGTCATCTGACCCCAGCCGTCTTTCCTACTCAAGTGCAGGGGGCTGGACCCGATAATCTCGTGAGGTCCCTTCCAACCCCTAACATCTATGAATCTATAACATAAGCCGAAAGAGTTCACTCAGCAATTCAATCAACCCCAAACATTCTGGCTGCTTCAGGGCATAGCTTTTAGAAAGATATTCCATCTGCATTTAGTCTTCAAACAATAGAGAAGCCAGCACATTGTAGTCAAAATTGTCCTGACACTTCCTTTGTTGAAAGTTTGTGCCTTATTTCTCACCTAATTTTAACTAATTTCAGCTTCCAGATACTGGGTCCTGCTATGCCCATTGCCAGATTAAACAGTCCTTTATTTTCAGGAATTTTCTCAATTTTCTTCATTAGCGATTTGGACAACGGGGTGAAAAACACCCTGTTTAAATTCGCTGATGATACCAAAATTTGGGGTGAGGTGAACACGCTAGTAGGGAGGGAAAGACTGCAGCAAGACTTGGATAGGTTACAGGGGTGGACTAGCAAAAACAGGATGCGCTTCAATACTGATAAGTGCAGGGTGCTGCACTTGGGCAGTAGTCACCAGCAGCACACTTATAAGATGGGAAACTCCCTTCTTGAAAGCACGGAAGCAGAAAGGGATCTTGGAGTCATTACTGACTCCAAGATGAACACGGGCCGACAATGCGAGGTCACAGTTGGCAGGGCTAACCGCACCTTGTCGTGCATCCACAGGTGCATCTCGAGTAGAGCCAAGGAGGTGATCCTCCCCCTCTACGCGACACTGGTCAGGCCACAGTTGGAGTACTGCGTCCAGTTCTGGGCGCCCCATTTCAAGAGGGATGTGGACAACATGGAGAGGGTCCAGAGGAGGGCCACCCCCATGATCCAGGGACAACAGGGCAGACCCTACAATGAGAGACTGCAGAACCTGAACCTGTTCAGCCTCCACAAGTGAAGGCTGAGGGGGGACCTGGCCACAGTCTATAAACTCACTAGGGGGGACCAGAAGGGTTTGGGAGAGACCTTGTTTCCTCAGCGTTCCCTGGCATAATAAGGAATAACGGCCACAAGTTGTTGGCGAGTAGGTTTAGATTAGACATCCGTAAGAACTACTTCACTGTCAGGGAGGCTAGGATCTGGAACCAACTTCCAAGGGAAGCGGTGCTGGCTCCTACCCTGGGGATCTTTAAGAGGAGGCTTGATGCCTGCCTAGCTGGGATCATTTGAGCCCAGTTTTTTCTCCAAGACTCTCACTGAGAGGCAGGTATTCCAGACCTCGGATTGTTCTTGTAGTTCCTGTCCGAATCCTCTCCAATTATGCAGCATCCATTTTAAAAGTTCAGACATCATGACTGGATCACAACTGTCAATTCCACAAACAGGGGAGATAACCCCCCTTCTCCCTACTATCAGTCAATACTCCCTTCTGGATACAGCCAAGAACTTTATCACCCCTCTTAACTATAATATCATACCAGGATTTCATTTCCAATTGGTGCTTCCATTTTCCAGATCAGAACACAATGCAGGCACAGAAAGCTGAAGTGACTAACCTAAGTCCATACTGAAAACCTGTGGAAGAGGTGGAAACTGTGCTCTATTTACACTACTATCTTCCTGTGTTAATTTTTTACTCTTTGATGCACTATAACAGTGGTGCCCAACCTTTTTGTCCCACAGGCTGGATAAGCGATGCTAAGTCGGTCCACGGACGGGATCCGGTCCATGGGACTAACCTGGCACACAGTGCTGGCCCCAGTGCAGTGCTGCATGGGAACAGTCTGACTGGGTCCGATCTAGCTGCATGGGAATGGCCCCATCAGGGCTGATCCAGTTGTACAGGGCTTGGAAGCTTGGCAGCAGGGAAGTGATAGCGGTGTTGATTGGCACCACTCCCCTGCTACCAAATTTCTGGACCTATGGGGAGTCCCATGGGCTCGATGACATGGCTCCACAGGCCATATCTTGCCCATGGTCCACGGGCTGAGCACCCTGGCTCCATAAAGTTCCTACTGCAATGACATTAATGTACTATTACATCCTGGTAGTTTAACAGCTTATTAGATCTGATCAATACAGTTACACAGAGCAAGTGAGGCTTTTATCCCATCCTCTAAACACCAACATTTTTCAAAATGCCCTCCACCACATAAGCTCCTTGCCCAGTCCAGCTGTATTGGCAAAGGCAGGCTTGCTCTAGGATAAAATGAGGACTTTCATCAAAGCCACTCTTGTTTAAACATGATAAAGTGGGAGGAGAGGAACACCAGTAAATGACACTCATGTTTCTCAGCAGCACTGCAATTTCCTTCACAAAAAACCCAATCCCTTCTGTCCCTTGATAGTTTCTAGTGCCAACCCACTCAAACAACCTACATGATGAGACACTGATAGAAACCATGCCAACCTGATAATTAAGCTTCAAAGAGGTAACACTCTCGACCAAAAAGAAAAAAAGGCAATGAACAAATGAGCTAAAAAAGAGATATAAAAAAGATAACAGCTCACTTATAAAAATAAGACAACATTTCAAACAACACTGGGATTAATCACTACCTTGTAACTCACTGCAAACTATCTATTTAAGTATGGTGTAGAATCTGATACCACTTGGGGGACAATCTGTGCTTAACAAGGAGTTGTATACATCATGGACAGTCTGTTTTTCTTTCCCCACTATTTTTATCCTATTTTGTTCTATTCTGTACTATAAATGGGAGTGGTGGCGAGGCTGCTACTCATGTTGTTGATTTGTTTCATAAATTCATATTTTGCTTAGAAAAAATACATAGCTTTTTCACTTCAATAATAGAAAGCAAGTTCCATGTCTTTTTTAAAAATCCGTCATCACTTCAACTATGTGAGATACTCTTCTATGGGAATAGATTAATTTGTAGAGCTGCTGAAGACCCACAGCTCTCCCTCATCCCCAGAAATAATTTAGATTGACACTGTTTGTGCATTGCATCTAAATGGGTAAGAAAAGAGCCCTTTTAGATGAATGACCCATGAATGTAGCAACATAAGAAGTGCCATTCTGGGTCAGACCAATGGCCCATCCACCCCAGGATCCTATCACTGAGGCTATAAACAGAATTCGCTCCCAGGGGTGCTCAAGATCAGACCCTGAAGCCCTGAAAGCACCTATTTGGGTGGCTGGATAATGCAGGTAAGTCCATGCTGCCCACACTTTCCCACCTTAAAACAAACAGATGCCCACTTCAAAATGGCAGCTCAAATTAATGCCACAATGACAGCCACAAATTTGCACATCTGTGGCATGACAAGAGGCATGGATGTCTTTTTGTTTTCACTTTGCGCTGTCATAAAAACATTTATGGTGGCACAAAGGCGACATCTGTTTCTATCCTGACAGTGGCTGAGGAAACTTGTCAGATCCCAATTACAAATCTGCCAGAGCCCACAACAGAGATTGGCTGGCAAGTTGCAGTTGAGAGTTTAAAGCTTTGGATAACCCCCTGGCTTTACATGCCTAGTCACTGCATTTGTATATGCTGATCATGCTTGTTTATCATTTGTCCATATGCACAGAATGGTGGTTATTGCCTTTGCACATAACCATTTATGTGCAAATATGCTCAGACTCCAGGACTCAAGTTACTGAAAACAGTCCTCAAAATTCTAGCTGAGTTAAGCTGCCAGATATTATCCTGGAGAAGAGATACCCTAAAGTACCCATTTTTGGCAGTGAGTCTGATTTTTAAAGAGCACCAGCTTCCCTCAGTTCTCTGTTTTTCTGTTATCGCCTATTGTTGTTCTGTTGCTTTAGGCAGTTAGTTACACACTTATCTTTCCTACTGAAAAGAGCCTCATTCACTTTGCAGGGCACACTGAAAATATGACAAAAGCATCCCTATAAAAGATGTCTGAACAAAGGCACTGCTTTATTATTTTACATATGATGTGAGAGCCAGGAGTTAAAGCCAACACATTCAAACTGGGAAGCCTAGGTTTAGAGACCTAAATCCATATTGGGGTCTTTGAAATCACCTCTAAAAATCCGGCTGCTGATACAGATGTCTGACAACTGTGATCTGATTCTATGGGATCTTTTTGTGTAGTGTAGTGTAGTGTAAAAACATGTGAAACCAAATCCCAAAACATCAGTCAACCTTTGGTTCCAGCACATTATTTTTCTATTAAAAAAGAGTGGGCTTATTGCAAACCTATTCAAATATGCAATACAACACCAGACATATTTTGTTATAATTACTACATATATTTTGTACGATGTGCTACTGATTATGCTACATTTGTAACTACATGCTGGCTTAAGAATACCCTAAATTCAGATTCTGCAGACTGACAAGAAGGCTACTGAAGGGGGGGTTTCCTAAGATTGGCATTAAGATAATGTGCGCAAAGTAAAAAATGATGTTTCCAACAAAAGGAAATATGACAAGCCTTCTGTCTTTGTGAGGAAGGAGTCTACATGGCCGCCTTTATCTTGTGTCTGGGGAGGATGTACAGAGGTCCTGAGTGATAACGACACAGGGAACCACAGGCTGCGTTAAGCAGTTTGAGGGACTCAGTTTAAGGGTTACGTAGGGTTTGAGCTGCACTCCAAAGTTTTGCTGGCTGTGTTGATGCAGCTGTGCTAACAGAAAAAGGAGCTCTTCTGGCTTAGCTTGTGCTGTTTGGCTATAGCTACAACAGCCAAAAACACCTTCAGCCAGCACATGCATTTTCTCCGCCAGGGTTCTCTACCAACATAGATATGCTCACAAAGCTGTCACAGCAGTAGCTCTGTTGTGTAAATAAGCTGTTCTTCCCCATTGTCTCCACTACCTGTTCCTCTTTACACATAGTGCAGAAGGGTCTTGCCTATTTTACACCCTGCGAGTACCCTCCACCTACCTTCTGGAGTTTGTCTGCCTTCTCATAGTATCCTTCCAGCTCCTGCCGTAGAACATGGTTCTCCTCTGATAGCATCTCCACCATTTGCTGTGCACGTTCCACAATGGCAAATGCATCGGGTGTGAGCTGCTGGCTGGGCGGTGTTGCAGATGGAAGCTGCACAGCTCCGGCTGCGGAGAGTGGAGTCAGGGAGGCTGAATGCAGTGGGCCGGTCACGGAAGATGCCTGGGAGGACATTGGGCTGTGCTGTTGTGCCGGCACAGGTGGAAACGGTGCTTGACATTGTCGGCTACATGAAAAGCAAATGTAGAAGAGAATAACACTGACTTGGCAAAACTGTCCTGAAAATCCACCACTTCTCAAGACTTTACGGTCTTTGGGATAAGGAATATCTTTACCCCATACATCCTTAGCAATGGGGCCCTGAATCTTAGCCTCTTTCATTACCATAACTCAGATACAACAACAACAATCAAGGTAACTTGTCCACTCACCTGCTCTTGGCAAGGATTGATTTAATTGGCTCTCTAAAACAATGCAGACACATCCATCCCCAAACCCTGTCCTTGTTTAGATGTAACAACTAGTGTTACAGAGCTCAGAAAGCCTCTCCCCTCCTCACAACATTATCCAGAAGCATTGGGAGATGGATGCTTATGACAAACAAGCAATATATTACTCACCCTTCAAAAACCGTTCCCTGCCTAGAGTGAGTAGGTGAGCAGAATGCTGATAGGCTGAGTTAGAAGCGAAAAGGAAGTGAAGTGAGTGAAATAGTTACAGCTGCTGCAAAACTGCTGGCTGGACAACCCTGATCAATTATCTCAAATCATCAAAGGCAGCCTATGTTGCAAGACCTCATTATGATACTCAGTCAAGGGTATGAATAGATGAGTTATGCACAGGCGTATTAAACACCTGCTGATCTTACTGCAAGCAAGGTTAAGAAAGGACTTGGTCATGGTCTGTAAGTACCTACACGTGGATGTATATTCTGATAGGAGATGGGCCTTTAACCTAGCGGATAAAGGCATAACTAGATCCAGTGGGTGGGGGTCAAGCCAGACAAATCCAGAATAGCTATAAGGAACAAATTTTTAACAGGAAGGATAATTGTGTCTCAGGTCCTTATTTGGCCACAACTCCTGCAGTATCTTGAGCACCTTAAGGACTTCAATATACCTACTCTCACAACTCCCTTATGAGGCAAGGCATACTGTAATCTCCATTTTAAAGATGAGCAACTGAAGGGAAGGATATGAATATATTACACAAGTCAGTGACGTGTCAAGACAGTGGGGCCAGTTCTAAGCAAGTTAACCTGGGTAGCAGAAGCAATCTGACTGTGGGAGCCTGTTATTCTACATAGGGTAACTCACACTACTAACAATTTGTCACGATAAATTCATTTGCACAGTTAGACCATTACACCATTAAGTAGGGTTGATATACACTAAGTGACTCACCCAAGGACACACAGAAAGTCTGTGGCAGAGGAGAGGACTGCACCTGGGCTCTCAAATCCTAACAGTATCCTAACCACTACAGTTTTCCCTTTCTCTGATTAGCCCCTCTCCATAGCCTGAAGTCTCTCAATCAAGACAGCCTGTTCGTCCTAAAAAGTGAGTTCTAGTTTAACCCCAAGTTACTAAGCTCAAAGCAAAAATCATTGTTCCCTGTGTTTATTTTTTTGCCCTGTCTGATGCTAGAAATCAGACAAAAAGATTGTAATTATCCCTTTTGGCCTTGAAATCTATTAACAGTATTACTTATACAGCACATTTCATTATAAATACATAACAAATATTATTGCTGTTTACATACTGTATTCTATAGTGCATGGTGGAGTATCCAAAAGCTCTTTCCAGCCTAGACCTGCTCTCACTGGGTGCATCTACACATGCAATTAGTACAGAGTAATAAACTGCAGCGTAGTTTGTGCCACAGTTTTATTTCTCCTAAGTGCAGTGTTTATACATGCACCCAAGACCACAGCATGTTGAGCCAGGGTAGAGCAGCCCTGGGCTGGCAGAGGGCCCAGGAGGTGAGCCCCAGGTTCCAGGTGGTGGCACTGGGCAGCAGAGGGGCTGGGGCATGAGGATGCAACAGCATGGAGCTAGGCAGCACGGTTAGGATTAGGGTTAGGTGGAGGGGAAGAATAAATGGCCAGTGGTGAGCCAAAAGCATGGCAGTCACATCCACTGAGAATGATAGAAGCAGCCAACCAGTTGCTCCAGTTTATGGAGAAATTGAAGATGTAGCTGCATTTATAAGGGCTGTGTGAAGCTTTGGTCGCTGATTCGATTTCGCCCTTTTCGATGACCAGATCTCTGAATTGAATTGAATCGGAACCCTCTGTATCGATTTGGAGAGATTTGATGATTTGGACGTAGACACGACGTTAAACGATTTTTCTACATACCTCAGGGTACCAGGCAGCTCATGAATGCTGAGATGGTGGGGCGGATATAGCGTTCCGCTGGAGTGCGTGGGGGGGGGGTT